AATGGCCTATCGTCGTGGTTATGTCAGCCTGAAAGTCTGCTTATCAAGGTCCTGTTGAGCAGCGGATGTTTAGGCTACAATGTGGTTAGAACAGGGCTTGAACAAAAGTCTGCACACCCAGTAGCTATCCTGGAGGATGGTTTGCACCCTTAATTTAAAATATTGCAACATTACGACCAAATACTTTTGTCTTTATAAAATTATTCCCTCATTCAATGAATTAAGGATCAAATGGATAAGGTAGGCTACTTCAAAGCTAGGTATCTAACTAGACATGTTTATTATATATAAGGCTAAAATATTCATGTTTTGGGGGAGATCTATGCACAGCAAGTTATTGGTCAATTAGGCTATTCTTTGAATATTTTTAATGTTGTCGCAATTACATGGCAAATGTTTAATAGAGGGGAATCCCAGTTTTCCAACAGTGCTGATTTATTTAGGCTACACAGTGCCGGTGGATAGGCGACAACGACATTAATGCTTAGCTATAGTTAACTAGCGAGATAGCCAACTCAAAACATAATTTGTTGCAGTTATCCAGTTAGTCTGTTGTCTGTCATTACTTTTTACTTGCTGCTAAAATGTCGCGCTCTCCCCGGCAACGGCCCACTTGCACTGGCACACACTGACAGGCACTGAAGGGTCATTCCTATAATGGCTGATATATAGATTTTTAAGTGATTTATCATATTTTAAAATGTGCCATCATGAATTACAGAAACTAATTTCCATGACTTTTGAAGACCTTACAAACCCTCATTTGACAACTTGGAACAGCGCATCATGTGCAATCAGGCTGGCGCATTTTCAATCTATGCAATCTCAAACTGTTTACTGTCACGCACAGATTCACAGACTAGCGGCAAATAAACTTGAACAAAGCGAAATCAGGAAATGAAACCCACTCATTGCTATTCAATGCAGATCCCGCCTTTATTCAGCTTTGATATACATTTTTTGCCTCAGTGTGTGAATCTGGGCCGGGATAGGCTACTTTGTATTACAGACCTTTTCAACTGTCAAAACAATAACAAGTTTTATATGCACGTGCACTCAAGAGGTTCCCCAGTAAACATCTGGTCCTGCAGTGCGCCATAATTGCTAACTAGCTAGCTAGTTAGTTGGCTAGCTAGCTAGCACTAAATTATTTAACAAATGAATTAACACACATTGACTTGTTGCTACCAGATCCACTAAACAAAATCATCAGACAACATTTATTTCCCTTTTATTATCTGTTTGCTCTGGTGGTGTTACTTTTGGCTAGCACAGCAAATAACCAGCGCTAGCGTTGTGAAGGTAGAGAAAGATCAGCTTTCCTTGTTAGCGAGCTAGATAGATGAATTTCTCTCACGAAAGCCAACAACTAAACTAAATGTAGCTAGCATACGAGTCCAATGTTTGACGGCCACATTGTTTAGCTACAGTGAGGGAAAAAAGTATTTGATCCCCTGCTGATTTTGTACGTTTGCCCACTGACAAATAAATAATCAGTCTATGATTTTAATGGTAGGTTTATTTGAACAGTGAGAGACAGAATAACAACAAAAAAATCCAGAAAAACTGGATGAAAGTGTTGTGGTCAGATGAGACCAAAATTGAGCTCTTTGGCATCAACTCAACTCGCCGTGTTTGGAGGAGGAGGAATGCTGCCTATGACCCCAAGAACACCATCCCCACCGTCAAACATGGAGGTGGAAACATTATGCTTTGGGGGTGTTTTTCTGCTAAGGGGACAGGACAACTTCACCGCATCAAAGGGACGATGGACGGGGTCATGTACCGTCAAATCTTGGGTGAGAACCTCCTTCCCTCAGCCAGGGCATTGAAAATGGGTCATGGATGGGTATTCCAGCATGACAATGACCCAAAACACACGGCCAAGGCAAAAAAGGCGTGGCTCAAGAAGAAGCACATTAAGGTCCTGGAGTGGCCTAGCCAGTCTCCAGACCTTAATCCCATAGAAAATCTGTGGAGGGACCTGAAGGTTCGAGGTGCCAAACGTCAGCCTCGAAACCTTAATGACTTGGAGAAGATCTGCAAAGAGGATTGGGACAAAATCCCTCCTGAGATGTGTGCAAACCTGGTGGCCAACTACAAGAAACGTCTGACCTCTGTGATTGCCAACAAGGGTTTTGCCACCAAGTACTAAGTCATGTTTTGCAGAGGGGTCAAATACTTATTTCCCTCATTAAAATGCAAATCAATTTATAACATTTTTGACGTGCGTTTTTCTGGATTTTTTTGTTGTTATTCTGTCTCTCACTGTTCAAATAAACCTACCATTAAAATTATAGACTGATCATTTGTTTGTCAGTGGGCAAACGTACAAAATCAGCAGGGGATCAAATACTTTTTTCCCTCACTGTACCCTTCAGTCTCTCCAGGATTTGGAACATTTTTAGGGACCTTCATCCGCAGACAGGGTTTATCAGCTTTCACAGGTCTCTGTATCTGAGGTTAGAAAACATATAAATTAGACCAGGACATGCTTCAGTATTTTCAAGCGATATAACATTTGATATTTCGTTGCAATTGAGTTTTTGTATTGTCATAGTTCTCTCTTTGGGACTGGAAAGCTGTTCATTAGCTAGCTAGTTATCTTAGCTACTAGCTAGGTAGCTAACTTGTCGTTTTTAGCAGATCAAGCTATCCTTTGTGTCATTAAAAAAACTAATATTGGATGGCTGTATATCCTATTTGTTTGTAGCTAGCTAGCTACCTGACATGACCTAGAATAGAGGGTTTATTTGATAAACAACTTATCTGTGTGCTACACATCATCCTGGCACTCCACCTCCTGCTGCTGCTAATGTTACTATCCATGCAGGCAATGCAGCCCACTGCGATGCTTCTTTGGGAAATCTAGCTATAAACTTAAATCTTCCCAGGGTGTAAGGACCATCGCACCTGCGAATGCAATGGTAAAAAAAGCTAAATTTGACCATGAGAAAACAACTAGACTAAGTTATCTTAGCTAGCTAGCTATTTACAGCCGCAACAGAACATCTGTTGTTGACAAACACACCGGAAGTTCTCTGGGGTTCCAGGGTTAACTTCCGCTCCTCCTCAAAAAGCTGTTAAAAAGGTCTATAGAGGAGGTGGAACACAATTCCCCAAAATGTTGAAGTGCCGGTACAGCGCTCCGGACAGCTCCGGACAGCTCCGGCCCAAGTCAAGCACTGCTGCTTGCATATGCCACTTCAATTTAGTATAGATATAAACATTTCCTGGCAGAGCTGAAGTTCCTGTCAGCAAGTAGTAAGCAACCATTGGAAGTGTTTTCATTTGCTTCCCGTGCTCCATTGAATTTGAATCCCTTTTGAATGGGAATAAATGCTTTTACCATGGTTACCATCGCTTCCACACAGATCTGTCCAGAATGACCAGTGGCATCCTGCAGCCTGTACTGTATGTGCACAATGGATCTAATAGCCCAACATGTGATTTTCTACACTCAATACACATCAAACTGAACACAGTAGTAGAACCTAGTAGACCTAATAGCAAATACTGGACAGTGACAAAAGGAGTTACAAGGATTGTTACAAGGATTTACAAAAAGAACACAACATTATTCAATATAAATGTTTCACCAAAAGTCTGAAATCCAAGTTCTAAACCTTACACCCCCAAAAACACTAAACCATACAGTAAAATCTCAAACAAAGCAGTTCTGAAGTTATCCTATTTCCATTGGATATTAGCTACTCATTGTATTTCATATTCAAATAGGTATTTTGAATAGTCAAATAAAGCTGTGTTCACCCTCTTGGAGAACTTTAAATGAGTTTGTATTTAGAAAATGACTGTCCAGAGTGCAATGGACCACAATGGGAACAAATCATAATGTGCTAAATTACACGATTACAGAGGATAAAGCTCCTGCTGCCTGTTCAGATAAGGTAATCCTCAGCAACAGGAGTAGGTGACCATCAACATGACACAATGTTAACCATGAACTGAATAATCAGCCATTTAAATGACTAGCCTTAACACCCCACTGTATTTTTAATTACAAATGATGTGTGCACTCCATTTAATGTTCAGTGTCAAAAACAGAACATTAGTAGTAGAACGGTGTGTAGAACTACTCAAGCAATAAGGCATAAGAACCCAGGGATTATCGCCTCGGGCCTAAGAACAGCCCTTAGTAGGGAGTTATCACACAATAGTACCCGGGTTTGAGGGCCTTATTGCTTTTATAAAATGGTTGCCAACATATTAATCAATTTTCATTAAAAACATTATTTTAACGAGTACATTTGTGTTCGCATTCTGAAGTTGCTACCCAAGCGGGCTGGTCGTTAGTTCTTTTCTCATATTTTGACCCAGTCGTTAATTCTAATCATTCAACGTTGCTATGCTATACAAATCATTGGCATGTACAGTGCCTTCAGAAAGTATTCATACCGCTAGACTTATTCCACATTTTGTTGTGTTACAGCCTGAATTCAAAATTGATTAAATATAAACATTTTCTCAACCATCTACACACAACACTCTTTAATGACAAAGTGAAAACATGTTTTTAGACATTTTTGCAAATTTATTGAAAATGAAATACAGCAATATT